TTGGCCAGCAAAAGAAGATATCTTGTCATTTGTGATAACGTGGATGGAACTTGAGAGGATTCAACTAAGTAAACTAAGACAGAAGCAGAAAAGGCAAATACTGAATGATTTCAATCATTTGTAGAGTATAAAAAAAAATCAGGCAATCGAACAAACAAAACAAACGCTTAGACTCTGACAACTGAATAGTGGTGACCCAGGGAAAGAGATGGGGAGAGGATGGACAGAGTGAGTGGATTGGTTGATGGTGGATGGTGACTGACCATTCACTGGTGGGTGGAGAGTTTGAGCAACTGCACATCTGAAGCCTATACAGTGTTGTAAACTAAGGTTATCATAATGAAAAGAAAAAGAAACAAAGTTTGAGTGACTGGACAAAGTCAAGTTCTTTTATAAGAAAAGAAGTTGGAGGCCACACAGGATAAAAGGGGAGCCTGGCTGGAACCCTACTGTCTAAGCAGCTTCTGTAGGTAAATGAGGGGCCACGCCCAGCATTCTTTGCTAACTCCATGAAGTGGGGGACCTATTACCTAGAAAAGAGTCATTTCTCTTTGCCTCGAGGAATCGCTATATAAAAAATTCTTCTTCCTAAGAGCTAGTTCTCTTAAGGTTTTGTTCTGTAATTCTACTGGAAAGACTTCCCGGGAAGCAATACCCAGGATGGCTGCAGATTGCAATACTTAAAAACAAGAAACTCCCATTTAAAGTTTAAAATGTGGGAGAGTGGCTAGATGCTGTCCAGAAACTGACTCAGTGCACAGGCCTCTTGGGATGTCAACCCAGTTTGTGAAAACAGCAAGAATAGGTTTAAAAACATTTCCAAAGTGCAAAAAATAAAAAAAAAATTGAGATCTTGAAGCAACTGTTCAGCTTCAGTGTTAATGAGGTGGTGCAGTGGACAATGAAGCAGTTCTCTCTGCTCTATCATTGGTCCCACTAGCACATGGCATCCTCTGGACAGAGTGGGGAGCCCCATTGTTTGAATTATGCCCTCTAGCTGCACGGGGAGGGAGCTCTCAAACTTGGTGCTCAGGGTATTCCTTCTCCTTTATTATTCAGCAGCTTGGTCCAGCTCCTAGTTTTCCCCAGTATCTTCCCAGTAGCTGGTTGACAATCTTAATTTTCAGAGCCAAAGTGGGCATAAAGGGGCTGAATAACCTGAGAGGACTGCTTCTTACCACAGCAATTGCGACTTATTGTGAAAAATGCTCTCCCTGATGGGCAAATATCCACTTCCGGTGACCAGCAAGCTCCCTCTTCACTCTTGGATAGAACACTCACTGACTAATGTGTACTTGGTGCTGTTAGTTCAGAATTCCAAAGTATCTCCCAAAGGGGATTTCTTTAGTTTTCTGAATAAGTCAAAGACAGAGCATGACCATGGACAATTTTTCCACAAAAGAGTTGGGCAGAGTGGTGCCACCTCTTTCATGCTCTTCGCTCCTAACAATGCCAGGAAGGACTTCCCCTGGACCCCTGAGAGAAGGAACTGGGGTGAGAAAGCAATCAGGAGCTGCTACGTCCTCACCCCTGCTTGCTGAGAGAGCGAGGGCCATGCTAGGTAAGTGTGCCTGGGGTGGGAAGAAGCGAACACGGCTTAGCAAGGTGATGTCAAGCTGCTGCTTCATAAGGGGCAAGTTCAGAGTCATGTTACCAGGGAAAAGCTTCTCTTAAAATTTTGGTAAAAGACAGATCACAAAAGCTACCATTCTCACTCTCTGAAGTGCTTAACTCTGTGGCATTGAATATTCACAGTATTGAGCAACCACCACCACCATCTATCTCCAGAGTTTTCCATCTTCCACCCTGAAATTCTGTACCTCTTCAACATTTACTTCTGTGGTTCTTTCTACAGCCTTCCAGGTAGTGTAGAGTGGCCATATGATTGAGTTCTAGAAAATGGGGTATAGGCATCTGGCTGCAAATTACAACGAGGGCCTAAGGGATGGATCAGCCACAGGTCAGATGCAGGCTGGCTTCCGGCATCTCTGCCAGGAGAGGCAGACATCGACAGAAAGCTTTACCTCTGACTCTTAGGTGAGCAAGAAATAAGCTTCTATGGAATAGGGCTCATTGTTACTGCAGCATTGTTTAACCTAGGATAATTAAAGGGTTGAATGTGATAATTTAAGTGAAATATCCAGCATAGTGCCTGGTCTCTGGTAAATGCTCAATAAACATTAGCTGTCTTAATAGTTAAGAGCAAAAACAATAAAACATGAGATGGGTTTAAACTAAAGCTGTATTATTAGCTGTGTGATGTTAAGCAATTTGCTTAAACACAGTCTTGAATTCCTCATCTGTGAAAAAGCAGATAACACTAATGAAAAAAGAAAAAAAAATCTCAAAATTAAGAGAACACATAGCTTTCCTCTCATTTGGAAGCTCTTCTAGTCCTGCCTGATTTAACACTATTTAAGCTGGTTATTGCTTTTCCATGCTGCCATATTGATGATGGATCTCAGCAGAGGCAGCCTGCTGGGCTCAGGGGTGCCATTTGCTTAAGTGGAGTCAAGAATTCCTGTGCCACGGCTGAGCCAATGCAGAGACACCGCGATGAGTCTGCAATTGTTGGTAATTACAGGACATTACTAGTGTGAGTGAACTATTGACAGGAGCAAAACCAGCAGTCCTTCAGTCCAGAAGGCCATAAGCAAAGCCCTTGCACTCTAACAGATCTCAAGAAAACATAATAGGACCAGGAATCATCCATGTTCCCCCCCCTTTTTCTTTCTGTCAAGTATAAGTCAGGTAGAGAGGGACGTGAACTTGCTTTTAATTGCTGACAATGTCAGGCTCTTTATTATCAGTGTTTCCAATAATACTGAACAGTTGGCCATGGACTCCTCAATTTCCTGTCTGTGTATTGTACCAAAAATTAGGCAACTCTAGTGTCACCCATGGGGGATCTAATCACTAAAGTCTCTTCTATGGTTGCGAAATGGGTCACGGTCAAGGATTAAGGTCTGGAGCTTGGATTTGAGGTGGAGTTTCTGGTTCCTTCCTTCCAAACAGAAAAAGTCAGAAGAGTTATGACAATCAGGATAAAACAGAAAGAAAACAAATAACATTTCTAGGTGTTTCTGATAGATACTAAGATTTCAAACCAAGATCTGTACCAGTGGTTCTTAATCACAGTGATTTTACCCTCCAGATACATTTAGCCATGTTGACATACCCTTTTGGGTCTAAGGATGGTGGGAGTGGAGAACTACTAGAACCGATAGCGAGGGATTCAAACATCCTATAATGCACAGGACAGATATCGCGACAAAACCCTGAGGCCAACGGTACAGCTGTTGACATACTGAATCTTCCCTTTTCCTTCCAGTATAGGTGATCACCACCATGCATGCCTGAAGCTGTTGCTCTTGTCCATTCTGCTTATGAGTTTACGCATGAAGGTCCAGATACCCATGTGTCCTGATTTTGGCATGAAAGTTCCAGATATTCCAGTGAAATATCTGGGTTCTTACAGGAGATATTAGGGACAGCTCTGAATTACTCCTCAAGAAAGAGTTTAATCACAAAGTCTACACAGTGTTGTTTTAAGCAGAGATATCTTAGTTCATATTTCAAAGGCTGGGACTAGCCAACCAGACAGCTTTCTGATCTGATTGATAACACTGACAAATCAAAATAATTATATTCATCAGAAGACTTTTGAGGCAAAAAAAGAGTAAGGAAAAGGGAAAACTACAAAGACAAACATTGGCAGTGCCCAGTTAACAGGTTCTTGGGGGTTGAGTGCCCTGAAAGAGCTACATGAACGTTTAGTCTGAAGCATGGACCTATATCCCCACCATGTAAGTAGATGCCCAAGTGTTAGGGCATCTCCATTATCCAGCATTACCCTGACTCTATTTCCAGGCGATCATAGGAACCTTCTGGCAACTGTCTTCTCCATGATTTGTCTACATGGAGAAAATGCCCTGATGAAGCTGATATGAATTCTGAGTCTGCTTGATGGTCCAGTTTCTCACTGAATGTGAATCAAGTGGCCTTTCAGCTTACAGATTGAGCTTATGTAGTCATCATGAATAGGTAGAATTAATGCTGGGACACTGACAATATGGCATGTCTGGACCCCCACAATGCAACTTTTCTTTCAACTTCTATATTCCCATGATACTTAAAAGCACCTGTGGTAAACTGTAATGACATTATATATGATTCAAAGGTTTGAGATCACACCTCTTCAGACATATGTTACCCCTCCTAGCACCAAGGCAAACACAGTCCCCCATCACAGGCACTGGGTCCCCTTCACAGCCTGCCATGACATTTTATAGCAAATTCCACCAAGAGATGGGGTCTATTTCCTCACCCCCCAAATCTGGGAAAGTCATGTGATATGCTTCAGACCACAGAACAAGGAGCAAAGACCTCACGTGCATTCTGAGACTTGGCTTCAAGGGCCTAGTATTCTTTCTTGCTTTTTTAGAACGAAAGTCACTATATGCAAAAGTTCACACTACCATGCTAGATGATAAGAAACAACTGGAAGGACCTCCCGCATCATTCCAGATCATGGCCAAGCAAACAGTAGAAGCAGAGCTGCCCTGCTCACATGCAGCTGAGTCCAAGCAAGGCCAAGAGATGGACCTGCCGACGCACAGAATCATTGCCTAAATAAATGGTCACTGCTTTAAGCTACTTAATTTTGCATAGCAGGAGTAACCTGTTATGCAACAACAAATGATTGATACAACAATATTGGTGTTTTTAATAATGCCCAATTACACACTGAATTGATTGCCAATCTCTCTGAGAAACTATAGACTTTGCCTCTTGACATAAGACAATTGATATTCATTTTGGGTGACCTCTTGACCTTCAATGATTAGCAGAAGAAATTGCCCCTGCTTCTACCATTGAGATGCTGAGATTTGAGTAAATGGTACAGAAAAATTGGGGGTTGCCAACATTCACTTGAGGAGAGAGAGGAGGATTAAATATATAAGCAATTATATTTCTTTGGACATGGACAGATTTCTGACCTTCAGCCGGCGGTCTGGATCTCCACTGCATAGAGAATTCACCGATACTTTGAATGATTTCCAGGCTGGGCTTAAGTTATTCATCACGACCTGAGAAAAGAAAAAGAAGAGTGGTGCTGGGGGGGGGAATGCTTGACATTTTCACATTGCAACATAAAAACTGCTTGAGAAGTATTGTCACGCTTATGAAAAGAACAATTGTCTGGAAGAGGTGCCTTAATGAAAACTTGGGAGTAGTAAATCTTTTCAGGAGGCCCACTAAGGGCATCACTAAGGCACAACTTCTGTAGTCACTGCCCTGGGTGTTGTCTTACGAATAGTGACAGTAATATTGTTCAGTATGTAGATGCTATAGGTAATCCCTCCTATACCCACCTGAGGGGGCTGAAACGAAGATGTGTTGCCTCTGACCTTGATGAAGAATCCCTAGTTCTGCAGGACTATCCACTTTATGGCATGAATTCTCTTCTACTGAGGTCAGCACAGGTAAACACTATTTACGTGTGTAAGGGGTGTGGCTGCCTAACTCTACTGCTAAAGAATTGAATGGTCTTTGGTAACCTGTGACCTTGAGTTAGAGCAGATTGCAGATTAGAGGACAAGTTTCTAGAAGAAAAATCCCAGGAGCATATTTACACCAGCTCATTGCCATCTTTATTAAATATCTCAGGAAGGCACAACAGGAGAGGTGAGCAGTGTGACAAATTAAGTGTATAAGATAGTGAAACTCTTTTAAAAGCAGTTTACTCAGCATGAACTTGGCTAAATCTTGCCCAAGAGTCCCTATGAGTCAAGTCTTATCCTGCTATCATTATGATTCAAATAATTCAATTTGGTTTAGGATGTACAAGTATTTGCTCTGTGCCCAGGAAGGTACAAGAGAGTCTAGGACAGAGGCTCCCAAAGGGCAGTCTTGGGACCAGCAGGAGCTACATCACCTGGAAACTTGGTAAAAATGCAAATTTCTAGGCTCCACACAGACCTTGATGGGCCACTGAGGTGATTATGATGTGTGAAATTCAAGAACCTCTGCTCTACGGGGACACACACATGATTTAAATGAAATTCTGTCATATTGAGTTTTCTTCCTATGAAGTTACAGTTGGCAGTAGTCCTAACATTGTAAAAAAAAAAAAACAACAAAGTAATTCTCTGTCTAAAAGGCATAATTACTTTATAAGTGATTCCCTCTTCTACAGGGCTCCTTAATATAACTATGAATTATTGACTGTATCACAGATTCTTTATTAAATTTATTGTAATCCATTAAAGTAGAAAACTAATGTTCCTGGGTAACTTTGTTTTGTACTCTGATGACTTGGGAATGATCAAAGTGATAAAGAGAAGAATAGTTACATAAAATTGCTTGGGTTAATTTAAATTTCTCAACTTTATACAAAAATACTGAGAAGTGAAGCTATCTCATTGCATTGCAACAATTTTGGAAAACTCAATAGCAGATCAAAATCTCAACTGGAAATTTCCTCTAAGATTCAACTGTAGGTGTGTGTGCATGTTTATGTGCTTCTCCCAAGAGAACAGTATTGCCTGATACTTACTCATATTGACTTAGTAAGGAAGAGGGAAAACCAATGTTATGTTGTTCTACTCATTAGAAAACTGTATAGTCCCATTTTCTGTGAGACTCCTGGAGCCCCTCAGCAATGGGGTATGGGCACAGTTCTAGCAATTTGGGGTAAATTTATCACTATCCATCATGAGAAGATGAACACTGCCAGGATCAAGGAGAGGAAGATGTCGGGAGAGAAATCCAATAATGGGGCTTCTGTCTCCTTACACCTTGCATGTTAAAGACTTCATTCAATGTCTAGAGCAAAAGCATGAATAGAGACCAATTCCAACTCTCCCAATGGTTACTTACTTCTCCTGAAAGAAGTCTATCCCATCCAAGACACCTTTTTTTTTGTGAAAAAGACTCTATTTGGTGGTGGCAATGGTGTGTCACTCAAGGATACTGCCCTGTTGCAACTCAAACTATTCTCCAGGGATTAAGTTCCAGAGCACCACACTGTACAACAAATCTAGTACACATACTACTTACATTTTAATAACATTCATTTATTATTTTATTAAATGCCAACTATATGCCATATAATATCACATACTGTACTGACTTATAAATAAGAAAAAATGGACACTAGGGTGGGTTTTTGAGTGGGGGGGTGTGACAGTGGATAGTGGGAGTGTGGAAGAAGTGAGGGATAAGATTTGAAGTCGCACGGAGAAAGAGGAGGGAGCATAAGGGGGCGATGAATGTGGACAAGTGGCTGGAGACAGGGCAGCTGCTGACAGGATGGGCCTGACGATGACCCAGTGCATGAGCTTTCCCTGAGGCGGCAGGTTGGTTTCACCAATGACAGTGAAGCTCATGGTCAAATAATTCAATTCAATCCTAGCTTTACCCCTTGCTAACTGTGAGAACCGGCAGAGTCCAAAAGTGCAGTTTCTAATAATAAAGTCAAGGGATTACTGTGAGAAAAAACTAAAATAATGCACACAAATCACTTTGTACAATGCTCGTCACTAAGTCAACACTCATGAAATGTTGATTAGTATTCATAGTGTCATTATTAATAAGTTGCTGTCTGTTTGTACTGAAAGCCAACAATGGAAAACTTGGTGTGAAAAGTTTTCTTTTCTAAATTGAAAAGGAGAAAACACAAACAAAACAGAAGCAACCCAAGTTACAACAGAGTTGTCTTGAGGTCAACAAAGACTCTAGGTCTGAGTTCAGAGCAACAGACATTAAAAATGTAAGGGATTTCTCAAAACAAGTCAATTTATCATCTTAGGAGCCAAGATGGCATAACTGAAAATCACTCTTCTCACCTCAGTTCTGTGCACCAGCTGCTGAGTTGCATCATCATTCATACGAAAAATTTCCAGGAACGGGTCAGATTTACTGAAGAAATCCTAAAGTAAATAAATGGAAATGCATTTATTCCCTACACACACACACACACACTTGATCCAACCCCAGATTGTGTACTCCTGGAGCTGACCCTTCCCTCTTTTGTTATTCCTCATTGCCCATTGCAAGCTGGAATGAGCAACATCTTCACTCCAAGTCTTTGAGCAGTTAGTACTTCACGGATTGAAATCCAAAATATTCTACATAGATCAATTCAAGTGGCAGCTCTTTGAGGAGTAATGTATCTGTGGTCTTAAACAAGTTAATCATAATTATTGTAAAGTCAGGTCTGATGAATGCAATATCTAGATCACCCATGGGTCTATTTCTATTACCTGTTTCTTGGTACTGCTTCTTGGTGTGCTTGCTAACTTTATTAAACAGATAGTCTGTAAGATTATAAGATTATTAAAGATACAGACTATAGATGAGTCATTAGTTTTTGGCAAGCAGTTAGAAGGGGAGACAGTCACCTCAATCCAATTAGATTGAGCCACTTAGACATTGGTTTCCTCAAAAGTCTTTAAAGGTCCAATCTATTCCTTTCTTCCAATCTAAAGGGTTCCAGTTGAAAGGCTGAATGTTATGAGTGCTATTTCCCCTCGTAAGCTTTCAAAGTCAATTTTTATTTGTGAGACTCTCAAAGCCTTTGTTTATCTCCATAATCTCTTGGTGCTAGTGTTTTGTTTTTTTTTTTTAATTTCTTTTTATGCTTCTATTTGCTAATTAGTGTATGCCTTGGGATGATAAGACACTTGGGCTATTGGGCTAACTCCATGCTCTGAAGCATCTATGAATCTTTAGCTCTAAAGTCCTGAACTTCTTGCTTCCTGAATCCCAGGAGTCTATCAAAACCTTTTCTTAAATTCTCTCTCTTAGTAGTTATTTTCTGCTAGGCCTCAACCTCTCTGTCCAGGATGTTTTATCAATGAGCCCCGTGGAAAATCTGACTAGAATGTCAGAATCACTTTAATGGATTTCTCTTCTCTCAGTTTCTTGGCCCCTCAAATCTTGAGGGCTTAAGGTTCTCAAACAGATGTCTTTCACACCTTTTCCCATGTTTGTAGTTGTCTTCAGTGGGAGAATAGTGCAAAACAAACAGAAGCAGACCTATCCATATTTTTTTTTTTAAAAAAGGATGGAACTAACCACAATGGTTTATTTTATTTTTTTTTTAAGATTTATTTATTTATTTATACAAGCACTGGGTACAGTCAGAAGTGTGGGAGGCAAGAGAATTCACCAGAGCCAGAGCGGAGAGCAGAGCAGGCAGACCGACGAAGTACACTGCTGAGGGGAGCAGTGGGCAGCAGGAGAGGTCTGCGTGCCATGTGGGACGCTCGCCCAGCGGCCAGGGATCAAACTGGCACTGCAGAGGCTGCGGGCAGCCTCGCAACCCAGAGCTCAACCGCTGCGCCACTGGGGAGTCCCCCATATCCTTTTTTTAAACTTGTTTATTTTATCCCAACAGATCATATGGTCTCAGAGAGCAGAACTATGTCTTATTTTCCTTTATTCTTCTACCATTTCCTTAGCATCTCCCATAGTGCCTAGGTTTTAGTGGTGTTTAATGAATGTATGAATGAATACATAAATGAATGAATGATAGGAATGCCTGGTACACAATAGCAGACAAGCTGAACAATAGCCTTAGTCAGCACATGTTTATTATGTATCTCATCAGATGATTATTTCTCCCCGAAATCTGGATTCTATTAAAGCAGGATGAAATCTACAGTCTCCAGTCTTCAGCTCAACAAAACAATCCTAGTGGGTATACTGATCACAGAGCTTTTGTGTCTCATATTTAAATACAAGAAAGGATAACACCTGGTCTCAGCCCTCCAAAGTAGGGTAGTGGTAAGAGAATGCACAAATGAACATAACCTAGGACCAGGAAGAAAGGAAGGAGGGAAGATAAAATAGGAAGAAGATAGATTGGAGGAAGGCAGAGAGGGTGGGATTTGATGGATTTTGATTAGGAAATATGGCTGTGAAGAGGATATTTATAAGGAGGGAACAGACTAAATGAAGGTTTGAAAAGTAAGCACAGCGGGGGCCACACCAAGTAGCTTAATTCCACTCAGCCCTGGGGTGGAAGAAGTTGGAGATGACACTGGCAAAGTCAAGTCCAAGAAATGAATGGCTTCAGTGCTCACTGACGCCTTTGCAATTGCCTTAGCAGCTGTGGGAAGCCACTGAAGGATTTTGAGTAGGAACATAACATGAGTGGCTCTTTTGTGAAGACTATCAGCCTAGAAACACTGTCAGATATCTTTGAAAGAGAAGAGAGGGAGGTGGGTATCCATCTTCCTTTTTGCTGTCCTCTCCACCCAACCAGGAACCAAACACCATGCTCCACCCAGAGTGTGGAATATTCCATTCCACTCTACTTCAGAAGATGCCAGGTTACCACAGTCTTCATCTGGTCAAGAACCCAAAATGGCTCCTTTTATTAGTAAGTCTACCCTGCAAAGCTCTCTCTTCTCCAAAATGGCTCCTGAGGCATGATTCTAAGCTGATTCCCACTGTGCATTCACTTAAGCCATTCACCCCTGGAACCTATGCCAGTTTCAACAGTCACCTTAAAAAATTGGAAGCTCCCTCTCTGGAGACTCCCTTCTCTAAAGGATCTGGGCTGCACTGGCTTATTCCTAGGTGCCCTTGGGCCCTGGAGCTTTAGGCTTTATCTCCTTAAATAGATTGCTGGTGACTTAACATCTTTGTCAGTTGCACTTGAAAATTGCTGACCACGGTGAAGGAACTCTATCGGTTATTTTTTTCCCTTTTATTGATAATTTTAAACTTTCGTTTTTATTACTTCTATTAAAAATAAAAAAATAAATATATGACAAAAATAGAAAGGAAAAAACAGTCCATTAACCCACCCATAATTCCCCAACTATCAATTACATTTTGGTAAATACTTCTCTAGAATAGAGATAAAATTTTCTTTTCCTACTTTTTAAAAAAATACACATTTGTAAACATACTCTGTATGCACTTTAGTGTCCTATTTCATCTCTTGCTGGTATATTGCAAGAAACTTTGAAAAGCACTATGCAAATATCAGGGGTGTTTAATATTGAGAAGATATCTAATTCCTGAGGGGGAATCCCTCAAAAGTAGCTAAAAAATACCTTAAACATAGACTTAGAAATTCTTGGCTTAATAACAACAGCTTTGTTGTTATCTAATTGACCTCAATCTGGAATTTTCAGTTTTCTTTGCTTGACCATAAGCGTGAAGATGGCCACTGGGACAGTTCAGTGCAATGAAGATTAATGATTCAGATATCTTACTGAAGTTTTGCTATGATGATTTTTTTTTAATAACTGGAAAGCCATATCATTCTGACCTTTTAGTCCAACATGAAAGGAATCTAGTCTACAGAGGGCAATGAGCAAACAGTTGAGGTTTAGAATCAGAAAGCAGTGGATTTCCATGACAGTGATCTTGAAAACCAAATATTGGACTAGAAGACAATGTCTGAAAGATTCAGGATCATATCCAGACTCTAGAGCATAGTAGCCTTGTGACTTTACTATGCTTCATCTATAAAATGGAAATAATGATACCTGCATGAGTTTTGAGAATAATGTAGATTAAACACCTGCCAGCTGGTATGTTGTAGATACTCAGTAATTGTAACTTGCTATCATTGATGCAGACTGGACTAATTTTCAAGCAGGCATACTTGAACACAGAGAAATCACAGTACAACAGGTCAAGGTTTAATGCTGTTTTAGAAGAAGGTCTATCAAACTGCTATGGGGAGCAAACTGGTTCCACTGTCTGTTTTTATGAATAAAGTTTTATTGGAACACTGCCACACTCATTTGTTTACATATTAACAATGGATGTTTTTAAGCTTCAAAGGCAGAGCTGAGTCGAGACAGAGACCATATGGCCTGAAGGCCTGAAATAATTACCACCTGGCCCTTTATAAAGAAAAGTTTGCTGACCTCTATTGTAGAGACAGATTTCTTTGCTTATACAGTGCCTAATCTAGGAGAGTGAGAATACTAAAAATGCAGTCTATAATGATTACTATTATAAATGTGGACACCATCAGTGTGAGAGTCCTATACACCAATACTTTCACAGGAAAGGAAGGAGAAAGAGTATTTTGTCAGCTTGAATGTTTCAAAGTGATTACATTCGTATCTCTACTTACTAGTTAGACTGACAACTAGTTGTTAGGGTAATCGATGGCTTGAGAAGATAGAAAGCTCATATCTTCGCTAAGTGGGTTGTATTAACATTAGATACATAAGTTATTTCTCACAAATCTAATCTATTCATATATTTATTTATTGAAATCTGCCTCTCAGATTTCAAGGACTCTGAATTTCCATCTCAAGAGCAGTTCAAGGGCTCTGTGCTGCTGGACAGCATTGGAAAGGTAAGTTAAAAATAACTTTCTAGCAAAAAAAAAAAAAATGGTGCATTTCTCTGTCTCTGTGGCTTACAGATGTACTCAGTGTTCCCTGCTCTTCCCTATGACAGTGGTTCTCAAACTCAGGCAAGGACATTACAAAAATGGAGAATTATAGACCAACATCCCTGATGACATAGATGCAAAAATCCTAACCAAAAAGCTTAGCAAACTGAATTCACCAATACAACAAAAGGATGATGTATCAGAACTAAGCAGGATTTATTCCAGGGACACAAGGATGGTTCAACATCTGCAAATCAATCAGTGTAATTCACCATAGCAACAAAAGATTAAAAAAAAATCCCATGATCACATCAATAGATGCTGAAAAGCCATTGACAAAATTCAACATCCATTTATTATGTAAAAATCTCAAAAAAATGCAGATAGAAGGAACATATCCCAACACAACAGAAGTCACAGCTAACATCACTCAATGGTGAAAAACTGGAAATTTTTCCTCTAAGATCTGGTACAAGACAAGGATGTCCACTTTCACCACTACTATTCAGCACAATATTAGAAGTCTCAGCTAGAGCCATTAGGCAAGAGAAAGTATAAAATTAGGAGATGAATAAAACGATCACTATTTGCAGATGACAAGATAATAAACAGGAAATCCTAATGATGCCTCTGGAAAATTACTGATGGCCTCAAAGAGCTTTTGTTAATGTGGGTTATAATGATCAATATTTATATTGTAAATTTAAATTGAGATTTAAAAATATTCATTTGTTATGCCATTTAAATAATCATAAAAACAAACCCATTGCACCAGAACCAAAACAGCATCTTAATGGGAAATAATTCATTACTAATAGTGAGAAGAATGGCATTAATTTACATTTTTGAAAATCAATTCTACTGACTGGCTTGATAGAAGGCAGTGTGTTCTCATACCTGATTTTTCAGATATTCAGATTTCAACCTGTTATGATATTAGGCAGCGTGTAGCTTCTGGGCAGCCACTGTATGCATATGACAGGATAAGAGTGAAGAAAGAAAATAATGTGTTATTATGAAAATAGTTTTGACCTCATGTGTTCTCCTGAAAGGGTCACACTTGAGGACTGCTACCTACACAATAACCTGTTCTTCTTTCCTCTCTCGCTTCCTATTTCCCAGAAACACATGGAAATGTTATCATATCATCTACATCCTGAAACTAATCCAACTTCTATTCATAAACCCTCTGCTGTGAAGGAAGGTTTAGGTTTTAACTAAACAATTTTATAAAGTCCCTCTGTCACTATTTGCATGTATGTGTGTTGGGGGAGGGGTGCCGTGGGAAGTTATTTCACCTCTTTGAAATATCCTCATCTGTAAAAAATGGGTTAGACCAGAGGCTTTTTATCCAAGGCATTTGGGTACCTGGGGGTTACCAGAGTTACTGCAATGGGACTGGGATTCCAGATCTCCTGTGACCGTCATCTGAATTGGATGTAGAGTATTCCATAGTGCATTATCATAGCGTAATTTTTCAAATGTATACAGAAATCATTTGCTCTCAGGATAGTCATTAGCAGAATTTTTTAAATTAAGAGCTCTATCTACCTCATAATGACTTTCAGTCATGATATATTTTCTCAATTAAGCTGTAAGTTCAATTGCTAACATGTAGGTAGCTACAAAATCATTTAATACTAAAAGCTAGAAAGGTCCTCCCTGAGAACCTCTAGGAATTATTTTTCTAGTTGTGACATGAAATAACCTTATTCTGCTTCTATCATAAAAGTACTGTGGCATTCTGAATTTTCCAAAGGTGACCACCACACTGTCTACTCTCTGCACTCTGTTTTTCCACAATATGATTTTGCCACTCCCCTGTTAAGGCGTGGTATCTAACTTCCTTCTACCTGATTCTGGGCTGAACTTATGGCTCATCTGTAACCAACATAATGTGGCAGAAGTGAGGATGCATGATTTCAAAGGTTATATGAGAAAAGGCCCCCAACTTCCACCTAACTTTCTTGGGATGCTCTCTTGGGGGGAAGCCAGTGACCAGAGAGGAAGTGTGACACCCCAGGACCACCATGTTGGTACTCTGGTTGACAAACCCAGCTGAGCCTAGTGAGGGCCATGAATGAAGCTAGACTGGACCCCAGACAAGCTCCTTCCCCAGCGAGTGCCAAGGGGTGTTCAGAAGGATCAGGAACGCTGCCTAGTGGAACCCTGCCTGAAGTTCTGATCCTTAAATCCATGATGTGTAATAAAACAGTTGCTAATTTAAGTCAATAAGTTTTGAAGCAGTTTGCTTTGCAGCAAGAGATACCCAGAGCGACAGCATTGTGCCCTTGGGTAAGTTGTCAGACCCTGCTGAGCCTGTTTCCTGAAGAGGTTGTATGAGGTGGTGTCATGGAACCATCTTGTACAGCACAAATTTGCTCTCTCACCACCTGAGATCATTCATCTTCCAGTCCAAACTGGGGCAGGGGCTTCTGCTTTGTTCTCAGCAGAGTTTGGTGCTCTCTGGGTTACTAAGGAAACCAGTCAAGACCTGAGTTCTATAGCTCTGGGATCCTAAGGGTTAGCAGTAGCAGGGCCCTGGATAATCAACGCAGTCAAGGGTGGGAGGGCAAGCTTGGACCCCCGGGGTCCGAGTACTGCAGGGGGCTCTTTCAGTTTTCTGAGAAAATGCTCATTTTTTTTCTTAAAGATTTATTTATTTATGCATACAAGAGCTGGGGTACAGGCCAGAGGTGTGGGGCGGGGGGTGAGATGATTCACCAGGGACAGAGTGGGGAACAGAACAGGCAGACTGACTGAAGTAAACTGCTGAGGGGAGCAGCAGGTGAGCCAGGAGAGGTCTGCTGTGCTATGTGGGTTGCTCCCTGGCCAGCCAGAAATCGAACTCATGCTGCAGTGGCTCCACTTAGCTTCATAGGTTGCGTCTTAACCCTTGCGCCACCAGGGAGGTCCTGCAAATGCTCATTTGAATGAAGGGAAACTCTTCAAACACCTAGAGCTGATGGACCCACTAACAAACCCCCAAGTCTCCTGCACTGTAACGTAAGGTAGTTAGAACATTAGAGGTACTTCAGAGACTCCTGAGTGGAAAGAAGCCATTATAAGCCATTAAGTGAATAGCTTAAAACTGCTACACACTGACCCAATGGCTTCTAATGGGAAAGGGAAGATACTGCAGAGCAGCTTGCTGAATTATTCTGAAACTTGGGGTGATGATAGGGGGAGGTATGGGAAGAGCACAATAATCATTAGGATGTGAGAGTTAAAAGCTCACACCCAACTGATACCAATGCAGATTGCATTTCCTGGAACTTAGTTGAACACGGGAATGTCAAAAGGTAGCAGTTTGTAAGTTTCACACACTACTCAAGACACCAAAAAACCCCCAATATAATTTGTTCCTAGGGGTAAAGAAGTCTTTCCTGATGTAGGCAGAATGAATTACCCCTTGTAGAACACATTGATCATACATCACTTATCACAACTTGTCATGGCTATAGTATTATTGTGTCATTTGTTGTTCACGTTTATTTTTCATTTAGTTAGAGGGTAAATTCTAGATTGTGGGTCTGGGAGTGATTGAAAGTGTATCTTCTCCCATCATCTCAAGCATAACAAGCACACCACACAGTTTTGGTAAATGAAGGACAAATGAATGAGGAAATAAACAAATAAAAGAGTAAACTGATGCATGCATAAGTGGACTGAACACTTTTTAGGGTGAAAAATGAGCTGGACCTGATTACAGGCTGCTGTTTAAGACTTTAGGGAGTTGCTTGGGATGTTATTTACCTTTTCCAGCTTAAGACCTGTAAGCAATTGTTTGAAAAAGTGACATCACAAACCCCCTATTCTCAAAATTGAGGAAAATAGGTGTGCATACATTTACTGACTTAAGGATATGGCTGAGGGAAATCACAGGTATATGAAGAGGCAGGGAAGACATCCCCTCTTTTATTTATTTATGTATTTTTCAGGGATGGAGATTGCAGAACCTTTTTTGTATGTCCAAGACCAGCAGGGTCTATAATGGATGGAAGTCGTGAGATGCACTAGGAAGTCTACGGGTGGGAATGAGACTGGCATGAACTGAATACCCACGTTTACTGCTTACTAGCAGGGAAGGGTGGCCCTGAGAATGGCTTTGCAGATACTTCCCAACAAGGAGAGTGACTGCCCCAGCTGCTGGGCTCTGAAATCCATCCTGCGTTTGTAACGAGGTCCGGCTTCCCACAGCACCCCAGCTCGCAGCCAAACACTGAGTATGCAGAGGATATGAAGGCAGGTGTGGGCCGTGTGGGACAGATTTCGGCTCTTAGACTCCTTAATGACCTTCTGGGAAGGTTCTTAGACTGCCTGGTGATGTGGAAGAGTCTCCCCCGGTCCCCCACCTTATCTGCCTCTCTCCTTGCTCTGGGTCAGACTAGCATCCAGATCTGTCTGCTCTCCCAAACTCCCTCTCTGCATTCCCTACAACACAGGTGTTTCTCCTAATAAAATTCTTGCACATTTAATCTTGGCCTGACGTCTGTTTCTTAAAGGATCTGGACTGACGTGGAGTAAACTTAGACAAGTTATTTATTTTACCTATGAATCTGTTTCCATCGCTGCAAAACTGGGTTAATGGGACCTGTTACATGGGAGTTAGAAGAATGACTAAGTGTGATACTACATGAAGAGCTCTATTCTCTATACCTGGCAAATATAGGTGTTTAATAATTGTCATTTTTCTTCTCTGTCACATCTTCTCTTTTCCTTTGAAGTGTCCCTAATAATAGAGCTACATCATATTTACCTGTGTACATCAATACCTACCTGTGCATTTGGAAATAAATGACGTCTTAGTGTACTAAATTGTCTTGTTTAAATTACAGTTCCTCTCCCTTCTCACTAACTGCTTCACAATTTGGGGGAAGTCTTATTTTTCAGGTCTCTCTGAAATCTTTGATCTATTTAATACTGTGGGTTGAAAGGGAAAAGTAGCTGCAGGGGGAAATCTGATTAAACTTTGTGTGCTAGCTTTATTACTTCCCTCAATAAGGTTAATACCGGACACTTTACCTTGTCATCCAATTTCCGTGCATTAAATGCAAGTTCAACGTAGTCATCATTGCCAGATAATTCTTCAGCAATCACCTGAAGGAAAAGCACACATTAGCAGTAATAGCAGTTGGGCTGTTCAGCCCAGGCATTCATGAACAAATTTAGCTCCCATTTGGTCAAAAATCAACAAAGACTGACATTTCCACAATCTCAGTGAGCATGACACAGCATTTCCCACTGCACAAGGGAACTCCCTGCAACAGTAAACCACTAGATTTCACTTATGCTGAGACGGGGGTGGGGGCAATGTTTGGAACAGCAGTTAGGAAGAGCTTCTCTCCTTAAAGGTCACATGTACTGAATGACACCTCCATAAATAATTATGTATGTTTTTCCTCTGGGAAGTCACAAAGAAGGGGGAGCAGTATATTTTCCCTACTGTTTTAAGTTAGACCAACAAGGAGAGGATAAGCAGATTTCTAGCCCTTTCCAGACCAATGCTTTAATAAGGTCATTAAAGAGAATATGGTCTTTATTATTATTTTTCAGAAAAAGATTGTCCCTGGGCTTTTGGAGATACACATGGGAAAAGAAGGGGGAGAGAGTCAGAAAGGGGGAGAGAGAGGAAGAGAGAAGAAAAGAAAATTAAGATAGAGAGGAAATACTTCTGGGATCTATGGAGGAATATCCAAGACTGTCTTAGAGAAAAAATGAAATGATGAGGTTGGGGAAGAACCATGGTAGGGACATATCTGGGTCCATCATGCCACGGCTGCTCTAGATGGGTGGGTTTGGGCGTGGATTTTAGAGTACCATTGGGATCTACAAAGACCATTTGAACCATTTGTTCATCACGATTGAATGTGACAGTCAAGAAAAAGCCTTGATCAACTGGATCATTTAAAATATTCAAGCAACAAACCCAGGTAAGTTCTTGTAAGAAAGATCACAACATTTACCACTGGGAAGCCTTTTGAATTTTTCCTTTAAACTCTTTTTAACATTCAAGTTAAAAAGGAATGTTCAAAGGAACTTAGGAGCTTTGCCTCCAGGCAATTCACCTACCTAGCAATTCAGATTCTCCTGTACTTTTTCCTATGTGGTTTATTTTTTTTTTCTTGGTCCAAACAGCTAAATGATTAGGCCACTTTCTCTACTTTCCCCAAGGATCCTGATAAAAGATGCCAAAGTTTCAAACACTGGGATTTTTTGATTTGAAAATTTCAGCTTGAAATCTAGAAATCTAGCACTGCCTAAAAGAACATTCTGCAATTGCAGCAATGTATTATAATCCATACCCTGTGTAAGATAGAAGCTTCTAGCTACCTGTAACTTCTGAACACTTGATATGTGCCTAGTCTGACAGGGGGATGGATATTCATTTTTATCACAGTTTAAATAATTTTATTTGTTTAAATAACCACCTGTGGTAAGTGATTACCAAATAGGGCAGCATAGCTCCAAACTATTATAACGAAGAAGAGAGTTAAATCCTAGGCTCCTCAGTCTTAGGCAACAAACCTTAGACTATATGCTACTAGAACAAATTTTTCATTCTCAAAAAACTGAGAGGGAGGGAGAGGTAGCTTTGACAATTTAAAACCCCTGGACTATTCCATCTTCTTACTGTATTCAGCAACTCTATCTTCATTCCCTACCCCGAGAGCATACATTAAAGAAGTGTTTCAAATGTCTGACTTTTCCATTTCCCTAGGGACAGATGGGTCCAAGCTGCAAGGGCAGGAAAGAGAAAGAAGGTAAAAGGGGTAACTTGAATAGCTGAGCTGGGTGGCATCAACTCCCAAAAAGCAGGGGATCTGCTTCCCAAGCATGCGTCCTGGACCGGCCAGCTTCCCATGGGCACAGCTGGCGACTGTGTAGGGAGGACTTACCGTGATGGAGGATTTCCCTGCTGTGTTGCCATGCTTCAACAAAGATTTGGACAGTTTTCTCTGGGAAACAATCTGCATAAAAATAAAATGTAGAGCTACTGGTCAAACAGTCAGAAGTTTATTTTAAAAATTTTCTTGGACAAAATTCAGCAGTCACAGTTTGACATGAATTTGCAACATCCATAGTCCTTTATTTAACATTTAACATTTAATATCTATCATTATTCCCGTTCTTATTTTCTCTGATGGCTTGTGAGGTAAGAGAGTGAGTGCATGAGGAATTAAATCTAATTTAGTTAACTAGGAGGCAGCTTAATTGCTGCTGAAGCATTTACATCAGAATTAAATGGAAACTGTTGGATGTGTACATTAATATAAAGTAAGTGAAGTATCAGGAGGAGTTCAAATTAGTACTTAAAGCTCTGTGCAAAGTGGGGATGGGGTGCAGGGAGGGAAAGAAATTCAAGGCCTAAAAATATACCTTCAATATGTATAACATCTAGCATTCTATTTTTAATATATTAATTAGGAAGCTATGAAGTAAGTCATTAGGAAATTGATGCTCAGACAAGCCAAGAGGAGTAATTGGGGTCCTCTCCATGATCCTGAATTAATGTACAACATGCAATGAGAACTAAAATCATCATCATATTGGAAACTATTCTGAGCACGATCTGCCCCAACCCCTTCTCCTCTTTTCCCCTTTTTTGATAGAGAAATTTGGCAAGACTTGAGGCCTGATGGGTATGCAACCCAGGTAGCCCTATGGAGTAGCCTATGTGGCAAGGAACTGAGGTCTACATCAGCAAAGGAGAAAATGAAGACTGCAACAACCACATTAGTGAGAATGGAAGCACAGCCACCCCCAAATGAGCCTTGTTGGCAGTCTTGTGAGATACCCAATTGTGTTGTCTGCAATTCCTAACACACAGAGATTGTGAGTCAGTCTGATCCAGTTGGAACTGGTTGGATCCAGATGCAGCCGGTTTGAGCTAGCTGGAACTGGTTGGATACAATCTGATTGAGTTGGAACTAGTTTGAGCTGGTTGGCTCTGCTTGGATCCTGTTCTAGCCAGTTTCAGACACTTAGAGCTGGTTTGAACTGGCTTGAGCTGGTTTGATCTGATTTGAGCCAGTTGGAACTAGTTTGAGCCACTTGGAACTGGTTTGAGCCAGCTTAATTTGGTTGGAAACTGTTGGATATGGCTTAAACAATTTTTAATTGGTTTAAGAACACTCAAACCAGTTCCAAACAGATCCAGATGGCTTAAACCAGCTCAAACCAATTTCAACCAGTACCAACTGCCTACAACCAGATCAAACTGGCTCTAACCAGCCCCAACTGGTTATAGTTGACAGCCTATAGCTGAGTGGCTCAAACAAGCTCAAACCAGATCCATGCAGTTCCAGCCAGTAGACACAGGAAACTAAAAGACTGACTTGGATCACAATCAGGTTCAAGGTCCCAGGAAAATATTCAATGACAGCCTCGGTGACGACTGATGTTAGGGAAAGCCTTCCCCTCCCAATTCCTTTCCCAAGACTTCTGGGCAATATCATGACACCTGGTAGAAAGAAAACCTGCTCAAGCTAAAGATTATGCCTTAAGGCCCTCATCTTGGTGCTCTCCCTCCATTTCTGATCACCTTGTAATGACCCAAAGGACCCACAATGCTCTTTCAGCACAGTGACCCCTAAGAACTTCAGCCTTATATAAACTACCAAGAAGGGGAGACCTTAAAAATATTTCTAAAAAAAAAAAAACCTTTCAAGAGTTATGCTCTTATGTTGCTTGTTCCCTCTGCCTGGATGACTCATCCCTCAACTGGCAAATTTTATTCATTCTTCAAGATCCATGTTAGAAGTTTGGAACAGTTACTGGGGTCAGAGGAAAATGAAGTCACCTGTGGGGGCAAGAAGGACTTTTCCTTAGCTCCTCACAGTGTATGTTTCTCTCTCTCCGTCCTTTTTGGCTCCTCCAGCAACACCAGAAGAATGGCCTGGGGACTTGTTAGAAACGAGAACTCTTTGACTCCCCACCTCAGACCTACTGAATCAAAATCTGAAATTTAATAAGATCCTCAGGTGATCTGTATGCACATTAAAATTGAGAAGCGCAGAGCTAGAAAGTGATAATTGCATGTAGAGAACCTTAGTACAAAATGATCAAATTTAAAAGAGTTATAGAAAGGGTTTTTAAATTAATCTGTTCTGCTGATTTAGATATATTAATCAGTGAAGTTGTAGGAACTAAGAAAGGTACAATGCTGAAGCTTTCTCAGATACTCAGGAAAGAAACCATGTTGTGTGTGTGTACATTTTATGTAAATTCAGTACAGTCCTTACTCCCCTGTGGGGACCTATAAAAGGATCACCCTAGAAAGAATGATTTAGAATGACAGGAGCAATGGGTAATCTACTGGTGTGGGCTTCCTGTCTTAAGCTTTCTATTAAGCAGAGTTCTAATTACTTCAAGAGTAATTACAGGTTTTACACTTTCTCTGACTTCATTAGCAAGGGATGGAGTGGAGGGAGAGCTTTGGAGAGGGATTTAAGAACTGCTTCTGTTTTAATTACCCACCTTTGCTTCTGATGATGAGGGTAAGTCCCCACCATCATTGCAAATGACCTGGCTCAGTGAATAGTCAGAAGCAAGCCACTCTCCTCAAGCACCAACCATTCCACCTGGTGATCAGAAGAAAGAAGGCCCATGCCAGGGAAGAGCATTTTGTCAGGTCAAAGGCATAGGCAGCTTTTCTGCCACCACCTTTGGCAGGCTGTGACTTGTCTTCAGTAAGCCTGGCAACCAGATATTAGCAGTTCATAGGATGGAGGAGGACTGGAGAGCTTTGACCATTTTTAAGTGAAGCACATTCCAGCTCTCAGAGCTAGACTAAGTACTTTGGTTATCATGAGTTACCAGATGAAGGGAACAGAGGCCGAGAGATGACTAAGATCATACAACAATTTGAGTCAAAATAAATACTGCCACAGAACACTTATTATGTGTCAGCCCCTGCTCTAAACCACCTTATATGTGCTGCTTTATTTAATTCCCATGACAGCCCTATGAAATAAGGCTGTATATGTCCATATACAGACGAAAAAACTGAGTGTAGAGAGTATAGTTGCCCTCAAACAGGACTGGGGTGGGGTCTTGGGAGCAAGAGCTTCTAGCTATTGTCAGAGTCCAATAGGTGGTGAACCAACATACACAAAGATTTGACCTCCTGCCTCATGGAGCCATGAATGATGCAGATCTTGTAGCTCTTATTCCTAGCAATCACTCATTGTCTGAAACTTTCATTAAATATGTTGGCAAAGGGGCTGCTGATGACCCAAGGCACAAGGTGGCTCAGGGGCTGTAACAGGGTGCTGTTTGGGAGTCCCAAGCCTCGGTTCATCTGTGGTCCTTGAGTTTACTCCCACCTAAGAGTTTACTCCCACTCTGTTCTGGCTAATCTCAGCCCCACCCTTGTCTTCTCCATTTCATGCTTTTCTGATTGCAATGGAACCCCATCAGCAGATCTACTGTATACAGTTTTCCTGGTTTAAATCCTGCTGGGGATCCTCATTGGAGGATTGCTGCCTTTGTGTTTGAGACCTGGCTTGGGCATGTGCACTGGTCTCAGCCTGCTAATGGGCAGTCACCAGGGAAGAATGGGAGCAGCACAATAATCTGCTCACAGGGGCTGCACCCCAGTTGTCCCGCTGCACAGAGAAGCCCCAAAGGCTATGTTCCCTCCAAAACAAGGTTAATGAATTCACACCTGGCCTCATTTTGTCCTTGAATCTGAAACCCAGACTCCTGGGAATGATTCTGTCACCCAAGCAGTTATTGTTTTTTTTTCCCTTAAACTTCATTAGGTTAATTCAAAATAAAAATATTCTCTTTTCCAAATTGGCTTGACCTAGAGATTCTAGACTTTAGGGGAATGTCAGAACCTCTCTGTAGTTGAAATGATGCTTCCTTAGCTTATTCCTGATTAGTGCCCTAGCCCTCCAGGGTCTCTTCTGTAATCAAAAATATTATTACAAAAGATCAAAATCAGATTACCCAAGCAAACCTTCCTCCCTGTGGGCAATGTGGTGGGGACTAAGGCTTTACCTGCAGCATCTGCTAAATTCTTTCTCAAAAACCAAACAGAGAGCAGTTTCAGCAAATACCTTGACCCAAAACATTTCCCATAAATTTTAATGTTCTTCAGAAGTTTAAGAATCTTTACAAAAGTTGGGGCCTCCCTGGTGGCGCAGGCAGTTGAGTGCCGCACTGTGAAGCTGTCCACAGCCTCTGCAGTGCAGGTTCGATCCCCGCCGGCCGGCGAGAATCCCACATGGTGCAGCAGACCTCTCCTGTCTCGCCCGCTGCTACCCTCAGCAGTGTATTTCATCAGTCTGCCTGTTCTGTTTCCCGCTCTGTCTCTGGTGAGTCCTCTCACCCTCCCACGCATCTGGCCTATACCATGGTTCTTGTATAAAAATAAATCTTAAAAAAAAAAAAAGAACCGTTACAAAAGTTATGTGTATACTGCTTGAGTACGAGTTCTTTGAAGTCAAGATGCCAATTTTATTATCAAATTTTTACTGACTATTGTAGTTTTTTCCCTGATATTTATTACTTTATAAAATATAGAAAAACATAGAAGTTACACTACAAATCAGCCACAACCACAGTCTGGATATCATCATTGTTTACATTTTAAAATATATCCTTTTACTTCTGTGAAGAAATAGAAATACTTTTAGTGTTTCAAAGGAATATAGGCACTATTTACAAGAGCCCAGTTATAGAAATAACCCGAGAGCCCAACAACAGATGAGTAGATTAAGATGTGGCACATATACACGATGGAACACTACTCAACTATAAAGAGATGAAATCCTGGCATTTGAGACAAAGTGGATCGAACTGGAAGGGAGTATGTTAGGTGAAAGGAGTCAAGAGGAGAAAGACAAATACCAGATGATTTCATTCATACATGGAATATAAAGAAGCAAAACAAAGGAACTGACAAAACTAAATGAAAATAAATCCTAGAAATCTGACTGCAGATTAGAGGACACTAGAGGGGGTGAGGCTCAATAGTGTCTGATAAAGGACTGCGGGTGCTTTGGTGGTGGGGCTGGTGTGCTTTGGGAGAGAAGAAAAAGGAAATTTTGGTTTTTGGCTAGCCTTGGTATTCAGAATAGTTTATGATAATCAGTAACTAAATTTCATAAGCAGGCTAAACTGCAAAAGCAGCAAATCTTCAGAAGTTTTAAAATAATTGCAGTGAGCATTAAAAAGTGTTTAAAAATCTTATCGTTGGTAAATAAAATACTTGGTGGAGAATTAATTGGGGGCTACAATAACACTGAGTGAATTGACTTTTTGGTATTTAACTTCATCAAACTGGCCCTCTGACATATTAAAGATTCAATTCACAGTGCCATGCTGTACAGGATGTGCCTGTACAGCATATTTTTATTTAGGGTGATTGAAATTGAAAAGGTACAGCAGGGGGAGGTAAGGGCATGTGCAAATGCCATGTACATGGAGAAGGCTCAGGATGGCTCATTGTAGGGGAACAAAAACTTGCCACCCCAGTTTCCTCAGAGGTAAGTGGAACTGCTGCCTCCCAGTGACATTGTGCTGGTTAAATGAAATGAGGTACAGTGAGAGCCTGGTGCGATGATTGGTAAATAAAGTGCCTAGAGGAAGTCGGCTGCTATATTTATTATTTTTATTATTCCTGACACACTGTCCACTCTATTTGGTGCACATGAACGAGTGGAAACATATGGGGATGCATGAACGCCTTAGCAGCGGTGAAAGAAAAGGAGGTCATCACATACAGGGACCTCTGCTGTTCTGGGTGGTGAGGGATCCTGTCTCCTTGGCAGGCCCTCTGCTGGGTGTAGCAGAGAAGGGGCTTTAGCTTCTAGTTTCTTTTTGGCCAACAAACATCCAAGGATGGCCCCCAAGTTCACCCAGAAGGAGTACACAGCTTTCCAAGCACCCTGTGTCCCTGTGATCTGCTCCCCCGCAGCCATCTGCTGAGAACACACAGTTCTGCCTTAGTGCTCCAGGGGACGTGAACCTTCCTTTGGCATTACTGCTCATGCTAGTCACTGACTGTGCTCGCACCCAATTTCACGACCAGTGCCAGTTTCTAGTGTGCTGTGGGCTGTTATTTCCCTCTCCAAAGGGCCATGTGTCCTGCTGCTCCATGTGGCAGAGTGAGACCGTGACAGACTGAGGTAGACAGAGTAGGTACCTGTACACAGCCTTGAGGAGGCAGGTTCTGAATGTGACTTCCTCCTGGGTTTGGGGATGTCACCTTATTGCACCTTTAGGACCTTAGTTGTGGTGAGATGGGAATTGAAGTATCTGCCCCAGATTATTTCATAGATCTTATCTGAAATAATTTAATAATTTTTGCCTAAAAATAGTGTAGAAGAATCTCTCTCTCTCTCTCTCACACACACACACACACACACACACACACACACACTGCATTCTTTGACTAAATAATCTAAATTTGACTAAATAATCTAAATTTGATCCTCATAGTCTCTCCAAGCCAGCCCTACTGTTATTTGCATTTGCAAATGAAGAGACTGAGGATTAATGTAGTCAGCTATTTGCTTCTGGACAAGCAATTGAAGAGCCGCTGAGCTGGGATTCGCCTCTGCACCATCAGGCTCCACAGCCTTTACACGGCCTAGTGCCTGACCAGGCTGGGCCTCCAGCCCTCAACCGTCCCACCTCCAGCCACTCCTTGCCTAAGCTATGCCAAGAAAAAGGGTCTTCTTTAACCTCTGAAGTTATGAAGAAGGTAACTGTTGATGCTTTCTTCTTGTGCTTGATTATACGAGAGAGAAACACAATTCAGAAAGAGAAAAATTCCCGAAGGGCAACGCCTGAGTGACACAGCCTGGAGACAGAAGGGTAGAGGACCTGGCTGACCTTCACAAGCCTTTCATGACAAATGCTCCTCTCTGGTTTGTTACTCTACACTTAGAAAACACTGCATAGGGGATTCTGATTTCAAGAGAACACTGAGTTCACATTTTTATGTGACAGAAAGTGGAGAGATAACCTTACATACACAATGGTTTCTAAAACTCCTTTATGATTTGTTCATATGTGGCATGTTCGATGATTTCCCTTCCAATAATAAAAATAAAAGTCTCTTTGAAGAAAGGAGCTCATCCACTTTTATGTGCCGGCTACTATACCACAGGCAGGCCGCTCTTCAGTCTGTATCCTCGCCGGATGCACATGGTCTGTGGTGAGGAGGGCAGGGGTGATAGGGGTTGAGAAAAGGAAACCCAGAAGTGACTTTGTCCAAGAGTGCTGCCAATTGGTAACCTCCTGTGACATCTCCACAGACTTCCTGAGCTGAGCACATCAGCCTCACACTCTATTCTCCACACCACTTCTCAGTCTCGATTCCCAAAAGACAGCCTCATGCCTCCTCCAGGAACCCAAGCCAGGCACCTGCAAACTCCTCCTCCCTCACAGATCTCCAAGGTTTGTGGATCCCAGTCTTGGAAAACTCACTTCTGGGTTTCCTTTTCTCAACTCCTGTCACCCCTACCCTCCTCACCTCTCTCCCAGTATAGCTTCCTGAAGGTTTCCCTGCCTCCATGTCTGCCCTCTCCCATCCACCCTTCACAGGATTGACAAAGTGATCTTTCTAATCCACCCAACTAATCTTGTCCCGCCCCTTGTCAGAATCTTTCAGGATGTCCAGTCTTTCTCCCTGTCTCACTCCTGTCTACCATCGTGCTTCCGTCTGCTCTTTTGACTTCCTGTCTCAGGGTCAGTTTCCTGGCAAACCCAAAGGAAGATATTCTTCACCATATGCCAAGCTCCCACCTGAGCCCACAGGCTTGGTATCCAGTGTCCCCATCTGCTTGGATTATGTTTCCATTCTTCTCCCCCTCACCGTCTCCCCAAGTTTTGCTGTAACTGTCACTTCCCTCCGAAGCCTTTGTTGGCCTTCCCACCAGACGGATGCCATTCCGTCGGTGTTTGCCCTCTTCCTATTCTCTGCTTCTCCCCAACAATGGTTGTAATTTCACTTATTGTTGTGTCATCATGCCCTTTCCTTCTTTATCCCCAACTAGACTGTAAGCTGCTTGAGGGCAGGTGCTGTGTTTCTGGCCCAGCACTACAAAGTGGAGGGTCAGGGACTCACTGGCTGCTGAAAGATGAGGCTTGTGGGAGAGCAGGTGTGAGTCTGAGGGCCATTCGCCTAGAAAAAAATCACTGCAGCTTTGGATGAGAAGGGCTTTTATTCACAAGGCTTTTAATAGGTTTACTTTTTTTTTTCCTTTTGTGAAATAAATGTAACTTTTATGCATGAGGGATGCCCACCATCCAAGAAAAAAATCTTAGAGTGGCTCATTTATATCTATAAAAGGTGACATTTTAATCACCATTTTTTTTATATGAGATAGAATTCTACCTCATTCCTTCAATGACTACTTGGGTTCTTTTCAAAAATCATGAGAGAGTCTATCTGTGGAGAACATTTCAGTTCCTTCACCATTTCCCCTCGCTGTACCACCACGTTAAGTTGCTGACATTCACTGAAGAAGAAGGAACAAGCCTATGAAATTAATCACTATTGTTGCTGGAAACGATAACTGAGGACATTGTCCACGAGGTCGCAGTGCTCAGCCAGGAGGGATTTCCCTTCGTGGTAAGCGGCATAAGGGAGGGTAAAAGCAAACACCATGCATGCTTGCCATCTCTCCTGCGGGGCTGTCTCTTGCTAATCCCCAAACCAGGCCCTTACCTAAACAGGGGGTGGATCCAGATTTTGTGGAAACTTGAGCTTGCATAATTCTGAATGCTTTTTTGAGAAAAAAGTAAGACTACAAATAAAAAGGTGAAACAGAAGCCACTGGCTTCACAGTGAACCAGCATCTAACTTTGATTCAGCAAAACGACTTTCCTCCTCCTCCAACCCTGGTGATGGCTGTGCCGACCCAACTGCCTTGTTTCTAGCGCTTTCTTACTTCAAAGGCCTCTCTTCCTCTTCTTCAGCCCTGGATAAGCTTTTTGCAAAGTTTTGTCTCAGAATGCCTTTTTCCCCCCCTCTATCTAGCAGAAGAGGCCCACAACCCTGTGCCTAGAGCCCAGGGCCTGAGTCTCAGAGTGGTGTCCAGAGTGTCCTGAGTGGCTCTATTTGTGGTGCTCATTAAGTCCTTCTCCAGCTACACTGTGCTCTTCTGGAGCCCCGGGAGTTTTCATTGCTATCTCCCCTTAGTACCTACTAAAGGTTCTGGGTACAGTGGGAGGGAAAGAAAACAAGGAAGGGGGTGACTGAAGCAACATCATGGGGTTTGGAGTGAGGCTGGCCTTGTTCAAGTTCTGGTTCTGCCACTTATTAGGTGGAGCTGCAGGCAAAGCACTCCCCTCTCCCGAGTCCTGGCTTCCCACTGATAAATGGCAGCAGTAGGATGTTTATTTCACACCACTGCTGTCAAGGTTAAGCACAGGCATTTATTCATTCACCAAATACCTTCCCAGCTCCTCTCTCAGGCTATTTTTGTCATCAGAGCTGGGAATACCATGAGTAAGCAACATGCCCCATGTGTGGGTCTGGCGGTTGGGTCGGGAGATGGACATTTTGAATGTTTCAGGACGAGGCTTTTGCAGACACACAATCAGCTTTGGAAACAGTTGGTAAAGAAGTGATTGAGGCCATGAAGAAATTCAGTAGAGGAAACGGTTAACCTTGCACAATAAGTAAGTGCTCACACCTTTGTAGCAGCATCCCCAGGTAAATATAATGTTAAGTGTAATGGCTATGGCGGTGCAAGGGGCACCAGCGAATGGAAGCAGTTAAAGAAAAGAAGGTCAATAGGAGAAAGAAAGCAAGGATTGAATGAGGGACTCCTGCAGGGCGGGGCAGGGGCAGGGGGTGAGGAGGGAGAGAGAGGCCGGGAGAAGGCGAGGCGGGAGGGAGGGTGTCCAGGACCCACCTGGCCCAGCGTGCACTCCATGCTGCCCAGGAAGTCGGCCTCCTTCAGCCCGTTGTGGTTGCTGCTGATGTCGTGCACCTCAAAGCGCAGGCGCTGCACCTCTTCAAAGTAGAAGTCCACAGTAAACAGTTTTGAGTACACTGGGTTTATGCAGGTGCGAATCACCTCTGTTCGGTCGACCTGCAGGGAGAGAGAAAGACCCAGCGGGGATTAGCGCGCCCTAGCTTTGTGCTTCAGGCAGATTCATTTCACACACTGCTCCTTTTTTCCAAACTGTCACGCCACCAGGGCCAGAAAGTCTTCAAGGAAGCACCTTCAGAGAGTGAGCCATGTTTTAAGGAGGAAAATCTTCTTAGACACAATAATCTGAAGCCTTAATACCTGCACGAGGTGGATTACTCGTGGCTGCTGGGAGCCTGAGGCTGGCAGAGGACGATTGCACATTTGGGCTCCCCCCTTTACTGTCAACATGAGAGGGGCTCTTTCTGTCATGCCCCTTGAGAAAAAAATCAGAATAAAATATGGGCCACAATTGTGCACGATGATAAATAGGCTCTGCCCTTCCATGGCACCCTCACCTTCCCGTTCCGAAGCTCTTCTCCCTCAATCAATTTCCCTCCCTGGTCCAGAGGCATTTTTGCAACATCTGCTCTAAAATCAATAGAATAAGGAGCCGTATTATCAGAGCTTTAACTATGTTCATGTGGTGCCTTTTAACAGAGGGCTTCTAGATAACCTCCAGGAAGTAATTTATAGGTGGACTTGACATAAGACACAGAAAAGGAAAACTTGTCTCCTGTGGACAGAGGGAGCGAGCCCTAGGCAGGTTCAGATGCTAAGAGAGAACAGATGAAAGCTCTGGTCTTTGTGTCTGTGTTAATCACTCCAAATGGCACAAATGGCTGACGTACACCTACTCCATGCACTTCTCCCTTCTTGATTTTCAAAGGATGATCTCACGTAGATAGGAGGCTCAAGTTCATACCAAGTCACACACCCATGGCAGGCTGTTCAAGGTAAGTGGCCCATGTTGAATGATTTGGTGTTTTGAGGGAATGAAATTAAGTAATAAGCAGCGGTGTTGGGCCTCCCTGGTGGCGCAAGGGTTTAAGCACCGCACTATGAAGCAATCTGCAGCCTCTGCAGCATGATTTCAATCCCCAGCAGGCCAGGGAGCTACCCACATGGCACAGCAGACCTCCCTGACTCGCCTGCTGTTCCCCTCAGCAGTGTGCTTTGGTCAATCTGCCTGTTGCGTTCCCTACTGTCTCTGGTGAATCCTCTCACCGCCTGCATCTCTGGCCTGTACCCCAGCTCTTGTATGCATAAATAATAAATCTTAAAAAAAAAAGCAGTGGTGTTATGTGGACAGGTAATTTCTGATGCTAATCTAAGGACCAGTAAGAATCCTAAGAGCACAGAGGTGCTTAGGAAAAGGAGATTGAAGAAGGGAGCCGTGTTTGCAATACTAAATGCATATTTGGAAGTTCTAGCAAAATGTTTTGCATTCCCAGTCATTATGGCAGATGCCTTATCTTTTCTGGAGACTGAAGCAGGGTTTAATCTGAGCAACGGAGTGTGGGAGTGCGTGTATTTCTCATGGGAAGGTATCAAGGACAAGGCAGTTATTTCCAAAAGACCAGACCATCACTGGCCGAGCTACCCCTGTAACAGGGCAACTCTCTTTTCAGATTCCTGTCCCCTCCCTCAGGCAATTCTGGCTCAGTAAGTGTTGGGTGGGACCCAGAAATCTGTATCTTTTAAAGTGTCCCAGGCAATTCTGATGGGGGACTATCAGAGTCAGGGAATAAGGAGGTGTGGGGTCCACCCCTGACTCTTAGGTGAAGTTTTCTGTCAAGGTTTGGTTTAATCTTGTTGATCCTCTGTTACCCAGTCTGCAAAAGTAGTCTGCTGATGTCTCATTCTGGGTCATCATGACTGATACACTCATGTTGCTTTAGAGTTTGCAGAATATGCTCACATGCATTTTTTTTTTCACTTGATTCTTAGAGCAAACACGTGTTGTAACTGTACACTACTGAGAACAGCCAAGGTCAAATATCAGCACAAGGTATTGGGTGATAGAATGGCCGCGGAACTCCTGCCTGCAGACCTCAAAACTATACCATTTTGGTTACTCATGTTTATTCATGAGCATTCCTTGAAAGAAAGGGTTAGGCTTTGGTAACTAGGCTATGGTATACTGGTGATAGACCCATCTTTGAATGTTGTTTTTGATGAGATGCTCTTTTGATAAACTGATCTAAAATATTTTTCAATATAATACTAATGTTTCTAATCATTAATATTTTTAGAAGACCTGATATGTCACAGACCTTCAAAGAAAAATGTGGTGTAACTGACACATAATAAACCACATTTATCTATTGTCAGCAATTCAGGGTTTTTTTTCCTTTTTTTTTTTTGTATAGAACTGGGGTGTAGGCCAGAGGTGCAGGAAGTAAAAGGATTCACCAGAGACAGAGGAGTAGAACAGGTGGATTTACTGAAATACACTGCTGAGGGGAGCAGTGGGTGAGGCAGGAGAGGTCTGCTGCCCTATATGTGAGTTAGCTCCCTGGCCGGGGATCTAACTGAGCCACAGCAGTGATAGCGCTGAGACATAACCCATAGGCCACCAGTAAGTTCTAACCTCTGAATGAAACCATTACTACAATCAAGATAATGGCATATCCATAGTCCCAAAGTATCCTCACACCCCTTTTTACCCCTCTACCTTTCATTCCCAAGCAACTGCTGGCACCGTTCTGTCACCACAGATGAGTTTGCATCCTCTGTAACTTAGATAAATTATATCTAACAGGTAGTCTGTTTTGTCCCTTGTCTTTCATTCAGCATCATTTTGTAGCGATTTACTCCCCACTGTGGCATACGCCAATGATTTGTTCTTTTTTTTTTTTACCACTGTGTAGTATTCCACGGTAGACATTTGGATTGTTTTCAGTTTGACTGTTACACATAAAAATTCCATGAATATTCATGTACAAGCATTTGTACAGACATATGTTTCTCCTCTTGAGTAAATACCTTGGAGTTAAATAGGTATGGTTAGCTTTTTAAATTCTAATATGTGTATAGTGGTATCGCATTATGGTTTTAATTTGCATTTTCCCATTAACTATGATGTGGAGGATCTTTTGTATGCTTATTTGCCATCTGTGTAGCTTCTTTGAAAAAGGGTGTGTTCAAGTATCTTGGCAGGCACTGTCTTTTCATCCTTACGACAACACAATGAGGTGGGGGCCATTATCCCCTCTTACTGGGAGACCCAGACATTCCATAGTGTTCCTGATGTTACACAGCTTGCGAGGGGTGGACCTGAACCTGGGCAGTCAAGCTCCCAGATCTCTGCATTTCACCCCTACGCTATATTACAGTCACACAGGTTTGAAGGTTTCCCACTTAACTCTGTTACTCAAAGGAATGCACCGCTAGGTGGCAAAGGTAAACTGTGGACCCCATGGGGAAAGTTGATAAATGAGGCTGAGGTTTTATCTCTGGAGACCTGACTTGTCCATGGGGCACAGTGGAGATACAGTGGGGGCCTTGAACACTGCCCCAAAGGTCAGTGTGGGGTCCACAGTTTTAGAATAGGCACAGAACGAGCACCTGCTCCAAGGGGGTGGGGGTGTTCTGAAGACTGTAACTGCCACAGGCAGAGAAGGTGAGGTTGGGAGAGGAGCAGGAGACAGAGTTGGTGCCAGTCAGCAACAGGTCTGAGGCCTGGGGAAGCGCAGGTCTTTATCCTGAGTGTAACAGGTACTGCTGAGAATGGCATTGTGGGCCAGGGAGAGACAAGAGGGCCCCCAGGGCAGTCTTGTAATTAGGTATTCTGTCAAACTGATATTCTTTAAATATTTCCTTAATATTTATTTAGTGAGGGTGGGGAGAAACTAATTTGCTCTGAATAAAAATGGCTAACGTTATGCTCCAAAATAAAAAATTTATTACAGATAATTTTTCAAGCCGTATAAGTTCCAAGGAGGCATATTAAACCACATAAAATTTCGATAATGAGATAAATCACTGTGCCACCAGAAATAGTATTATTCAGTTTCATGATTTTAGCTGCTCGTGGCTGCTGATTGCAAGAGACTGGCCTCAGGGTTGGTGGCTTGACTTATAGCTGCAACAAACGAGTTGCAGGCCTCCAAATTACTCAACAAAGGGCGGGGGTTGGTGAGATATGACTTTTATTTTCAATTTGAGTGGATTCTCTACTTTGATGGGTCTATAGCTCTAAAATGTGGCTGGTTATCTAAGAAGTTACCTGGGGAAAACTGAGCTGACTGGTTGCCATTTTTGTACAGTCTACATGCCAAGGAAGCATAATTTCTGGCTGCCTAGCTGATCTGCCCATGCCTGGGAACTCCTGTTCCCCATTTTTTAAGACTGAAAATATGGCTGAGCATTTGACGGCCTTTGCTTCTCCTGAACTTCTCATGAACAACCTGGGCAGAAGCTGACCTTGCATGTTTGTGGGGGATGCTTGGAATGTGTAGGGGTGCTTGGGGTTGTCACAGTGCTGGGGTGACACCACTGGACACCAAATATCCTACAAACTGGCACAGCCCCTCCCGCCCAGAGCTAGTAGTCAGTGCCCCATCCACCTTTCACAACAAAGGGAGACATTTCTCTAAGTGCTAATCTGGTTCTCAGAATCATCCACAGCAATGGGCTCTTAGCCAAGAATGGGAGTCAAGAGTGGGATCCTCCACAGAGAAACTCGAAGACACCCCATTTGAAATAATCAGAAAAGTTTTGTGGTAATCACACACCCTGAAGAGCCTTAGGAAACAATTTTTTCGCAGCCTGCCTCATAAATTATTTAATTCCTCCTTGAATTGGATGAAAAGTTGAGTGGTGGGGCCTCCCTGGTGGCACAAGGGGTTAAGCACAGCACTGTGAAGCTATCTGCAGCCTCTGCAGCCCCAAGTTTAATCCTTGGCCAGACAGGGAGCAACCCACATGGTACAGCAGACCTCTCATGTCTTGCCCGCTGCTCCCCTCAGCAGCGTATTTCGGTCAGTCTGCCTGTTCTGTTCCCCACTCTGTCTCTGATGAATCCTCTCACCCTCTGCACCTCTGGCCTGTACCCCAGTTCTTGTATGCACAAATAAATAAATCTTCTGTTTAGGCAAAGGAAGGGGGAGAGAGTA